ATATATATATATATATATATAGACGCGTTGAGATCCCACCAACCAATAGCTCACGGGCCACAACCCTGTATGTGTACTATACACGGGGCATTCGCCATTCTTTCCTTCGAGAGAGTCTCCCAGGACGTTTTCATTCTCCCTACCCCGAAGAGATACGAATGGATGTTTCCCGGCGGGGCCCATACGTATACTTAAGTGGCACGATATTATTTTCTGCCTACACGATTCTCCTTTATCCTGATACGCCCAGTACGAAGGGCCAGAGAGCCAGAAAGCCCACGTCCCCTTTCGAGTAACGCACTCGACTAACGCAACTTTATTCGTTCAAGTTCGTCCTCGAAAAAAAAAAAGAAGAGAGAAGCTTTGAAGTAAAATCCTTGATAGCTCCTAACTTTCTTATTGTTAGATACCTCTTTCACGAGGCGAATGGCGAGTCTGTTGAGAAAGAAAAAGAAACCAAGCCTCTTCTGCCTATTTCTCTTAGCTGCCGTTGTTCGCTTTTTTGTCCCTCGTCCCTTTTCCAGCAAATAGGATCCACCTAGTACTTAAGGGATAGTGGGTTAAATTCAGGTCGCTATAGCTATGCATCTTCACGGGGTAGTTCGATTGCGCGTGAACATTCTGAAGAGAGGAGTATTTACCATTGGCATCCCTTGATTTTCATTATATCCCTATACGCCTATAGGACTCCTTTAACCGATCCTCTTCCTCCTCGTCGGGCACCTCTCACTGGAATTCGGTGTCAGCCTTCTTCTTCTTCCGCTTCTCATCCTCCTACTGACTGGGCGGAATAATTTAAAAGCTCATTAGCCGTGCCGTTTCTTAAGTTCGGAATAAAGTTGTGCTCTCTCGTGGTCGGATTGGGGATGAACGCAGAAGGGTCTGGACCAGTTGGTTCGTTAAAGTAGGTATATCCTCCAGTGTCACGGGGGGCTGGCTATGGTTGGCCCAGGAAATACAGAGGGTGGGCTAGGAGTCAGAGCTAGGGGAGGAACGAGGGGTAGGATATAGAGGGTAGTAGCAAGAGCTATACCGGGTATATGGTAGGGGGGCATGGGGAGGGTATGTAGTATAGCCAGCTTTACCACATTGGTTTGTCGAGCCATTAATCGGAACAGCTTTATACCCGGAGATTTATATTGGATTAGGTGGCGGAGGTGGTGTGGTTTAGTTGAAGGCACGGCCTGCCGTAACTCTCCCGTAACGAACGTTATTCAAACAAATTCCGTCCGTCAAACTTTCGCGAATTTACTTTAGAGCCGAGTCCCGGCTTTCGTCTTGTGACGCAAAACATCCCCTTGACTCGCACCCGTAAAATTATTCTTCATCTCCGTTCTCCGCTCGGTCCTCGACTAACTCGTTTGGTCTATTGAATTTATATTAGCAGGAATGCGAGATTGTGGACTGCGCTTTAGGGGTGATTAAGGAATCTTTAGGGTTGACGCGATATCGCCGATAAGACGATAGCACGAAAGTTGCTCGGTTTTACAATGGAAATCTTTATTGGCCGATCACTCGTAGACGGAAGGTTAGGAAATTATTGACTTCCGGTTAATTTAACTACGACTTCCTCAATCGATATCCAAGACTTATCAGCCGCTACCCTCGGGTGACTTGCGAGTGGCGAGCTGCGAAATGGCACGCACCCTTATACTCGGAGATACTTGGAATTGTTTTTGGGAAAAGAAAGAAAGGAAGAGGAGAGGGAAGACTGAGTTATAAGTTAGACGAGGTACAGGCTGTTGAAGGTTGGGAGGGGGGGTAGGAGGAAGTCGTGGATAACATCTTGTTTGCTCAACTCTGCTCCAAGGACCAAACCAGCTTCATCGATTCTACTGGCTATTTTTGTTCTTCCTCGTTACTCTGGGTTATCGAGGTTGCACGATTGTTTGTGGCTAATTTGGCGAATTTCGTAATTTTTAGGCACGACCGCGGTACGCAAGTGCCTTATAGTTTCTATCGCGAAAAATGTGTGAGATGCGATATCTCACGCAATTTTCGGCCGATCGGGCGGAAATTTTGGGGGAGGTCTCCTCTTGTACAAACTAAAAAACTATTTTTTTTTATCCCGATCCTCTACGTCCTTTCAAAGTGGGAGCACAATTTGATAGATTTTACGATTTTTTCGTGTATTATTTAATAAAAATGTTCATTTTACACGATTATCTCTGAGAGACTTCAGTCAATCGGGCTAAAATTTGTTGTGGGGACTCCTATCATCACTAGAACCTTATGGTTCTATTTTGAGCTTGATCCTGTACATATACGCAGGATGCGGTCACCTCCAAAAATCGCTAAAAACCGTTTTTTGTCTGTAACTCGAATTCTGAGCATTCTACAAAAAAATGTTAAATGGAAAAGTTGTAGATCTTTCAAAAATACAACTTTTTCCTCTTGACATCAAATCATGAAAATGCTTTCCACTCAAGTTAGCAGCCCAAAATCTGGCTGGGCTGGAGAGCGCAAAGCGCGAACGTCAGCGGTCGTGCCTCACACGCAAAGCGCAAAGCGTTTTGCGCGCCTTGCATCGCCTCGCCACTGCGGCCGGAAGGCCGCGTGTGGCGCGCTAGTTCTTTTTCTCATCGTCAACGTCAACGGATCTTCCACTTGAACTGATGAGTACAGAATTTTGGACCGTTTCAAATTTTTTCGTCGAAGATGCGCGTGCGGGTGGGCACGATGAATTTTTATTCACGCTCAGTACTCTCGCGCGTCGTTCCCTCTGTGACTATTTATAAAAAAGAAATTTCCAGGGCCTCTGCGTATCCGGCCGAAAGTCGGTCGTCCTTCGTGAACTCGCCGGCGTTAAATCATCGGCCGCGCGGCGTAAGTAAATAAAAGTGTAGCAGATAAAATTTAATAAATTCCAACATGAAAGGAGGCTTTTATGTTCGATATCAGTAGTGGCGGCGGCCGCCGCGCAGTGCCCCGTGCCATAAGACGATGTTTGATGCATTACGCCAGGTCATAGTTCAGCGAGCAAACTATTCGAGAGCCTAACGCTGTTAGCACGGCTCTCGTGATTTATCGATCAGCCAATAGCACTCGGTATCGAATAGCTGTTTTATCACGGAGTGCAAAATCATTTTGGGAATATGCATTAAACCACGGTATACACAGAGACTATGCCGATAGTTATATATTTGAGCATTAGGACTTTTCAGACATCGTCAAACACGGCCACCGCACAGGATGCACGCGACTCATATAAATTTGTATTGTTTGCCAATTTACCATATTTCTATCCCGTCGTGTATCCCCAAACCGGATCCCTCTTACCAGGCCTCGCAGACCCAATAACGTTCGTATGATCGGATAACACTGAAACCTAATTTACGAATAGTCTGTCGCTCCCTCAAAATTCACAAGATCCACTTGACATCGATTTTCAAGTGTTTCATGGAAACGTCCTAAATCCGCCAGACTTCTTGAAGCTACGTACAGAGATGTATATATCGCGTCTTGTACAATTGGTCCGTGCTTCTACACCACTTCCTTCCCTGAAATTGATTAGCATTGTATCTCCCTACCTTAGCCCCCGTCTCCGTCTCTCTCCTTTCTCCAGTCAATCCCACCCATTCACTCGTTGTGCTACGGTCCTCTCTCTCTCTCTCTCTCGCTCTCTCTACTCGGTACCCATAC